TTGTGTGGTGATAGAAAGTGAAAGAAAATCATCCGATTTTTATTTTGAAGCAGGGCCTGACTTTTTTTTAGGTAACAATTTATTCAAGTAAATTGATATGAAAAAGTTTTTAAAAAACTATAGTCTAACTTAAGTTTAATACATAGGGCTTTTTTAAGAGTGCATTTCAATCTACATGTCTACACTGCAAAGTTTCTCATATTAACAAAATATTTATCCTAAAAAAGAACCCATTAAAAGATTATTCTTATTTGCCACATACCAACACGGCCATCCAATTCATTTCAATACACTTCATGAGTGCTTCCAGAGGTCCCAGGCTGTGGTGAAGTATCTTTGGTGCACTCTTTGTCTGGTCATTTGCAGCAGAATTGGTCACCTGCTGTTGTCTTGTCAGAAATGAGTGTCCTACTTGCAAAACATGAGGAGTTATACAGAAAAACCTGGAGCTGGTGTAGGGTTGACAATGTTCACCAAACACGCCTATAAACAATGCTTGCACCTAAAATGGAAAAATAATCATTTTGAATCATTTTGTTCCACTCTTGGTACTCAATGCTAAGAACTAAACTAGATGAATGAAATGCAAATGTCAAAATGAAGAAATCTTTGTCAAACTACATTTCAACTGAATAATAACTAAGTATATCTACAATGAATGTTGCTGTTGTTGCAATTAATGTTAATTAAGGAAGCTTGAAGTCCAAAAGGACAAATGTCCCTTAATTAAATTATCATAACTAACTCAAAGTAGTGATATGTATCATGGAACATGTTATGTAAAAGTTACAAATTTGACAAAAGTTTGTATTTAAGAAAAATTAACTGATTTAAATTTCAAAAAAGTCTGTTTTAAAACAAATTAACAGAAATCAGCACATACTTCTTCTCAAAACTTTTTATGTTCAAATTCTTTGCATGTTTGTCAGCCATTTTATTTTTTAGTAATTGCTAATAAATTGAACAGTCCCCAAACAACGAAATATTTGAAAAGGAATGCAAGATTTCTATTATCTTCAGAAATTGAGAATCAATTCTAAGTTAGCCAGAGCAAGTTTTTAAAAGAAAAATACATAATCTAATTATTGCATTGTTTAGCACATGCACCATGTCTGTGAACAACTGTTGGCAAATATGCTTAAGAACATTTCTACTCTCTAAGGAGTCTCTGAATAGCTTTGGAGAGCATGTTTGAAAAGCTGATCACAGCCTTGAGCAATGTTTACTGCATAACTAGATAACTTCTTTCTGTGGTAGATATGGCTGCTCCAACAGAGACTAATTTGATAATGTTTGCTGATCTTGGCTGGCATACAGCAATTCTTTCTGCTCCCAATAAGTGTTCTTTGGAAATGAAATTAAGAGCATCACATGCAACTCTTGCAAAGATATTCCTTAAAAATGTCTTTCTCTTCTTCACTGTTTTTTTTAAACAGAAACTTAATAAATTCTTAAAACGAAAGATATACGTGAAATGTATTGGTCATCTCATTTGTCAGTTGGCACTTTTCAAATTCCCTCTATGGGGAAAAAGGATTTCACCAAGGATCCCTCCAACCAAGTAAAACTTTACCTTCTCTTTGTCCTGGTTGGTGCGCATTCTACTGCTGTAAATGAGGTGCACATACTCTTCAGGAGCCCAGTGGCCTGGAGACTGAAGGGGAAAAACATGATTATTTCAGTTCTGGCAAATACGCCAGCAAAAGCTTTCTTTGCTTTAAATACTTCAAATCACTGATAAGAACTATACATTGCTAAATCAATTTAATTTCAAAAAGAACATTTACAAACATTTAAAAAAATCTAGGGGGAAATTTGATAAGGAATTCCAACATAGGTTGCAGAATAAATTTTTAATATGCTTGCCAAAATACTTACTTGGTTGGCTATCATTAAATCACACCAGCGGAACACATCCCTGAGATTAAACTCCCAAGGACCACCTCTCTGCCCCCACTCACACTGCACCATTGTCTGCTCATACATCTGAAATTATATTCACATTTTTTAGGAAAAGGCATTTTGTTTTCGGTAGAAATAACCTGACAAAGTGTACAATAAAAATGTTTCTTTTTCCGTGAATTGAAATTCATTTGTATTTAAAAAACATCTTAACAGGTAAAATTGTTTGAATATTTTACATTTTGAATATTAATTTGTAGCAATCTGATTTTTTCTGTACAAAGAGTACGTTTGGAAAAATGACAAGCACATTCTACCTGAGAATTGAATTTAATCATCTTAACAAGTAGGTCTTCATCAAACATGCCATACATTGATTTGGTGATGAACAACAAATCTTTTAGACCCAAGGGGTCAACATACACCTGCAAAAGAAAGAATGAAAAGCAAAAAATGAAAAGAAACAATAAAACATACATTAAAAAGTTGTCTAAAAAAACTGGTATTAATGGCTGTAAAACCTGTCCATGCAATATGAACACAGAACCAACAATGATAATTGGATTGCCTGAGAGAAAATTTAATTTGCTCATACCACATCACAACAATACATATCAGGTATCCATGTTACTATGAATTATTTCCGTGCACAGCATTTTGCATATACTTTTGCAGTTATTAATGCAGAAGTGTAATGCAATAAGAGGGTTTATTGAACAGGACACTTGGCAAGTTATTAGCAGTCATATGGCTAAAATTGGTTCCCAGCATTAATATCTACAACATAAAAAAAGGAAGAGACTGCCATTTAGTGAAAAAATTGGAAAAATATGTTGTGGGATCCAGGGGCTGCCAAAGATGTTTTTGGTTCCCAAAATCCGAAATCAACCGATAGTCAGAAAAATCTCATCATTTCATAAATATTAGACTAAGCCCAGAAGTTATTTTCATCCTCAGTTTAATTTTGATTCAGAATGCCTAAAGATTACATTATTTTGTGGTTGCTCATTAGCAGTGCAGTACATTCTTTCCAGAATAGCAACTGCCTATTTCCTTTTCATATGGATTTATTCTTATATTGCATTTGCTGTGTATCCATCTTGGTTTAAATATACACCATGTAGCCTTACCTGTGTAAACCTGTTGAGGAATGACTTGGGCAACCCTTTCCTCCCCCCACCTTGGTTCAGGGGGTTCTGGCAGGCAAACAGGCGAGTTTTGTTGTGCTGAACATGGAAGGTCATGCCCAGCTCAGGAACGTACACCTCCGCCCTGTGATCTAGGCAGGCATTCAGGCCTTCAAGGACAGACTGGGATGCAAGGTTCAACTGAAAGGAAGAAGATGTGAACTGAAAATAATGCAGTACTAAACAAAGAATAAAAAAATAAAAATTAATAATAAAAAAATTATGAAAAGTGGTTGCAAAGTTACCTAATATATGATCTTGTAGTGTATTCTACTTGTGAAAATGACTAGAAAAATAATCAAAGTAACTTCTAGGTATCTATGCTTATCCTTTGTGTGTATTCAGTGGTAATCAGGGCAAGGTAGGCAAACACGAAGAGCTGTATGCCAAGTCAAAGACATTTTATAATTTTTTCATCGAGTAAAATATTAAAGTCATAATAACTCTTCGTTTTGGCCAAAAATTGGATTTTCCTGGAAAAAACGGCAATTTTCCCCTACTTACCAATGGCCAACGACCCCATTCCTGCATTCAAAGTTAATCCAGGTTTTTTTTCCTAAACGTACGGTTTTTTGTTAAAATCTCTTAAGAGATTTTAACTGACGGAGCTCTCTCTGACATTGCAAAGTCACTGGTGACCTACTTAAAACCGCGGGAAAAGCAGACAACAACAACACTATATAAAATTCATGAGATATATTCGTCTTTTTGTTAAAAATGCATTTATATCCACAATGTGTGCCATTCTGGGCTTTTCGTTATCCGACGCACTGTACAAAAACTCGCAACTTACGTCTGAGGGTTTCCCACCATGTTATTTTGGTCTCGAATGAACGCGAGAATCCGCGTGACACCATTACATCATTAGCAACAAATGCACTTGTCGACCGGAAAAAAGGGATCGAAAGCCCTATTGACAAGCACAGATTTTAGTTTTCCTACAATAACGGCCGTTTTAGTGGTAAAATACAATAGAATATATTTCCATGCGTTGTTTACAATGTATTTCATGCGGATTTTTGAATCTCAAAGGAAGAGTTATTATTGCTTTAAGCACACACCTCATCTAGTACTACCCAGTGTCCAGCTTTGAGGGCCCTGAGGAGTGGACCATCTCTCCAGGCAAACTGACCACCTTCCCCACCTTCCACAGGAAGATCTGCACCAAACAGGTCTGTAACATCCTATGGAACACAATCCACATGTTTTATTATATTGTTATTTCATTTTGTTTTGCCATTTCAGATGTCATGACATTAAATGCATCAACACCTGTTTTTCACATGAGGATATTAGTTAACATTACCAAGCAAAGCAAGTTTGACTAATAGTATATAGCTATCACTGATTTGAACTCATCAAAGAACTCATTAAATCATAACAAATTAATAATTCCTTTAAATTTTATTTTTAAGAATTCAAAGTACTGGTACGAGCAACAGTCAAATGAATGTTCAAGTCAAAGTATGAAAGGGACAACAAAGACATTAAATCGAATTCTCTATTCTAAGGTTCCCGGTGCCTACCGTCTGCTCGGACAGATTTATCCTGACCAATTCATTCCCAGAAGCTCTAGCCAGAGCTGCTACCAAGCTGGTCTTGCCAACACCAGGTGAACCCTCTAGCAAGACAGGCCGTGTCAGCTGCAGAGCTCTCAGCAACCTCTGTGCATTGGTGCTAGTGGTTGGTGCATGGATGGCATAGTCAGTCAGGGAAGATACCCTCAGTGGTCCTACATGACGAGAGATAAAGTATTAATTAAAAGAACAAATGGCAAAAAAAAGGCCTTAAAAATATGCTATCTTACATGATGGGCATAAGAAGGGTGGATATGATGTTTAAAGAAATGTATTGCACTGTAAAAAAAAAAAAAGGTAAACATCTTAACAATGATTCACAAACTGCAATTACAAAACATCAAAATAAACTGTTGATGGACAATTTAATCTGGGTGACATTTTCTCATGTGAAAGGGAAATAAGTTTGACTGCACTTCCACTGAGGAATAATATATAAAGAATGGATATATTTACCTTTGGGAATATAGAATGGCTCAATCCCAAACAAATCTGCTTTTGTCACATCTACGTGTTTGCTGTAGGTTTCAACTAAACCAAATTTGGCCGGATCTATTTTCTGCCCCGTCATCTGCTCCACTTGCTGCAACAGGTACTGTAGACATAGGGTTCTGCTGGCACTGGCTGATGCCATGCTAGCTGCATTTGTATTGCCTGAAAGTAACAGAAATCACCAATCCCTGTGCTGTTTATGTAAATATGTAAAGGTGTTGTGTCAAGCACAGTTTTAATAAATCGAAATTCACATAATCTGAAGGATTCTTCATGATGACCAACTGAAATGTCACGAAAAATTAGTTTTGTAAGAACAATGTATCATCTCTTTAATTTTTCACACACTATATCATATCTAACACAATGTGAAGCATTTTCTCCACTGCACAATAGACAATGCATAACAATCCAACTCACTGAATCCCAAAGCATCAAGAAATACCAAGCAGGCACCATGGACATAGGCCACAGGGGGGTCCAGAAGTTTGCAATTGCTGTCAGTTTCCATGCCATCTGCTTCCACTGTCCTGGCACAGGTGTTGATGAAGTGAACCCATGAAAGGATGTCCCTGATGCTCACTGTGCTCCTAAAAGAAAAACCACAGCATGAAACTCTTGATGTGGCTGAGATATTACATGATTAATCAACTTTTTTTCTTTCCAAAGTTAACCAGATCAATTTGAACATCACCTGACTACAAAGTGTTCAGCTACGTCCATTAACTCAGATAGAAAGAAAGTGGGCTGAAACCATGAAACAATGAGTAATGCTTTGTCCGTAAAAAATATACCAAAGATTTTGAGTGTAGAAACAGTTAAGGAATCCATAAGCATAGAAACAGGTAAGATTATGACCAACGATCCTTAATGAGACCTACCGCTTTCCTGCCTCATTGTTGATGAACCATTCAACAAAGTCCATGATGGCTCTTCCTATTCCACTGGTGCCATCTTCCTGGTTGCACAGATGAATACCAGACTTTAGATTGTGTTCTATAATGCTGACAAGGTCCTGGCGCTCTGTAGTCTGTGGACACCAGATTTCTGTGAAACGGTTCCTCAAGGCTGGTGAAAGCTAGAAGTACAAAGGGGAGAATTCAAACTAAAACAAAATTTGGTGATAAGCAGCAAGTTAAAGCATAGATGATGAAGTGGAAAATTTCCTTCACTTAATCCTAAACCAACCAACAGATGAAGTAAAATAAATCTTACTTCTTTCTTCCCATAATCTCCTCCAGGGTTCATTGTGGCAAAAAGACGAAATTTCTCCTTTGCAACAATAACATCTGCTTCCTCTTTCATCCCAGGGCCAGTGCTTGTCCCTTTCTCTGCCAGTAAGAGAGTACGTTCTGGTTCCAACACACTGTTAAGTCTCTCTAACACAGAGTCGTCTGCCAGGGAGATTTCATCTGCAAGAAACATGGCTCCCTCTTTCATGGATGTAACCAAGGGGCCATCTACCCAATCAAATAATTTCTTTGAGTCGCTCGAGCCCTGAATAAATTTTGAAAAATATATGAACAAATAATGAACAACTCATTCATGGCAAAATTTTAACGCAAAACAGTACAGCCCTTAAATCCAAAGTTAGTCATGATTATTTCCACTTCAAGCATAAGATATAAAGGCCTGGATGAACAGCTGTCAACACTGAAAAAAATATATTTTAAAACATTTTTATTACCAGTAACTCGTACCATTAATCTTATTCTTAAATCTACTATTTTTTGTTGATTACAATATCTCTTTATTGCAGCCTATATACCTCCTGTGAGTTAGCATGCCTGACTGGTCTCAACCCTCCCAGGAAGTCTGAACTTTCCGTGTGCATGTGACAGTTCACTGCAAACATCTTCTGCTGAGCCATCTCTGCATACAGCTGGCACATACTGGTCTTCCCACAACTACAAATAAGACCAATGTCATTAAAATGTTCAACTCCAAATAGGAGCACTAAAATATAAATTTAAAGTTCTCCATATCCACACCATTTAACAGTATTTCAGAGCAACTGTTCAGTCCCTGGAATATTCTCCTAACCTATTTCACAATCTAATTTGACTGTCATTTTCAAACTAATCAAGAAGAAGATTACCAGAAGATTCTTTGTGTTCTTACCCAGTTTCTCCCACCAACAGGACAGGCTCCCCAAACTGTAGTGCAGTCCCTACCAGCACAGCCATCCTCCGCATACCGTAAGTCCAGACAATATGTCTGAACCCTTCAGGGGGTTGTTGAGTGAACTGGCACAGGAGTTCCCTGGTGGTTGGAGAGGTGGAATCATCCAATGTGAAAAGTCTATCTGGATCAACTGATCTTTTCAGGTGTTTCTGTATGACCTCCTGTATGACATCAGCCTCTTCTGGCTTTCTCACTCGCCCTGCCAGTAGGAGGTATCCTATATGAAATGGAAGATTTTACATTGTCTTTTTAATGTCGCCCATAATATTCCAAAAAATCAAGATATTATCCAAACTCTCCTAAAATATATAATAAACAGTCCACTAGCTGTATGTGATACTAACCATGGTCTGCTAAATGTTGATCCCAGTCATAATATTTCCCTGTATTTGATTTGTTAGTGTGGTGATATCTTTCTGCCCAGCGGAAGAGATCTCTGAGAGTGATGTAGCCTTGTTTCCCTGCAAACACCCCAGTGCTTCTTCTTCTGGTCTGGAAGTCAAGCAAGGACAGTTTTTGAATGGCTATTTAACACTGTCCACATAAATATGTACTGACATGCTCAAATCAGCTTCCTTTTATATGACAGATCAGGGCATTTACAAGTAAACATGAGTCAAACTTAAAACTTCAATCTATTCTTGAAAAGAAAGCCCAATTAATCAGAAATTTTAGTTTTTAATCTAAATGTGTTTTCAAATTTTGCTCAGAACATTGTTATTAGGCATGTCAGCAACTGCAGCAAGTATTTTACCTGAAGATCCAGCATGGCCACCACCAGTTTCTTACAGTAAGACAGAGGAATGAGGCATCGTTGATGAAGGATGGTCTGCAACTCGCCACTGGGAATCTCATCAAAGTGAAGCTCCACAAACCTGTTCCTGAATGCTCTGGACAAAACCTGTAATATTTAAGTTTATTAATTGAAGAAGAATCTTTTTTGAATACAAAAAACTGGATGTGCTGATATTCCATGGTCAATAGTTCAACTGAATTTATTTTTTAAAACTGCAATTTACTGAATTGTACCCCTCCACAGTGACAATATATGTGAAACTACATTATTATTTTAATCTTGTAATAACAAATCTCTTCCTGATCTGCTCATTACCTTTCTTCCACCATACTGTCCAGGTGGATTCTGAGTAGCAAACAACATGAAGCGTGGGTGTGCCTTGATGGTTTCCTGGGTCTCTGGTATGAACAGTTCTCGGTTATCATCAAGCAGCTAAAAGAATAATTACATTGATCACTTATTAACATGTCCAAGTCCTAAGCAGTTTTTGTACCAAAAATTCAAGAATATATAAAATGATTTCACAAACCCTGTTCAAAGCCTCCAATACATCACTGGGTGCTAAATTCAACTCATCCAAGATTATCCAATGCCCTTTCCTCATGGCGTCCACAAGCACACCTGAAATATAACACAGAAGATGTCCATCATTTTCTATACCTGCATAAATTTATAGTTAAATAATCAAAATTAACCATAATTTATTTCAAAATTACAGAGCCAATGAATTTCTTGTTCTTTCAATAAAACCCTTGATCAAAATAATATGGAAAAGTGTAAACAAGGCTGGTCTTGTAAATGTATACCTTCTTTAAAAACAAGTTTCCCCATCTCATCTGCGGTGTAGCAGCCCACATACTCCTGTATATCTGTGTGTTCGTGGTTGTTCACTCTCACGCAGTGGTTCCCCGAGGACTGGGCCAGCCAGTTGATCAGGCTGGTCTTTCCAACAGATGTCTCTCCTTGGATCAACACTGGGTACCTCCTGGAGAAAACAAAAGGGAACAGAGAACTTCAGAAAGTTGTGGACTGAAAACTCATTCTACACAGACCACCAATTCGCAAACGCTGCAAGATATACTTAAATAACATTCTGAACAAAATGGTTACTGCTGTACAAATATTCTATGCCTATCCAAGATTTAGTCAAAAACTCACCCTCCAGACACCACTCTAGCCAAATCTTTCAAATTTGCCCTCACGCCTGGGGTAAGGATGTAGTTCTCAGGTGTGTGTGGCTCCTTGCCCCCTGTGGGGACCCAGAAGCCTTCAAACAGCAGGCTGCCACCACCCTGGGGTTCAGGGAGTGGTTTCTTCAAAATGCTCTTCATGTTAGACTTCCCTAAGATATGCTGGCAGATGAGCTGTTCTACTACAGGGTGTGAGGATCTGTCAACTTGTGTCAGGAAACTCAAGCAAAATCCCTGTAAGACAAATGCACAAGTTATTTATTTTTTTCATTTCTTTTTTCAATTTTAAATCAACACCAGTGCTTAGTATTTAATACCACTTTTATATTCTATACTGATACTATGATATTATATTACTGAAGTGATAATGTGTACTGATTTCCATATTCTTCATTTTAATTGTAGGTAACCAAATGACAAACATGGCATGAAAGACTCTTCTGCAAAGGTAACATAGACATCCTTTTAAAAATCTACTCTACCAATTTTTAGTGTACCTCATACAAAGATCTGGGAACAGTTCCACATGGGTTTGATGCTGCGTGCTTCAGTGCCCTACATAGTGTCCGCAGACTGTAGTGTGGACGATGTCCAGTACCATCTGTCAGTTTCTTGGCTGCTTCATTCCTAATGGTCAAATAGAACTTCACTATACCCTCCACCTGGGCAGCAGTGAGGGATAATCCTTTCAGATACTCATTGACTAGGATTTTCAGGTCTGGAACACTTTCTAGCTCATCCACAAATATCTCAGTAAATCTGGAACAAGACAAAGAAGAGTTACCCAAAAATTCAATGATAAGTAAAGCAAAGAAACTTATTGGTATCCAAAGCTGACTTCTTATCAACAAAAACAAAAATATAGCCTAATTTCAAACAATAAAATGTGTCCAAAGTTTCTGGAAAGAAAGTGCTCACCTATTTCTAATTCCTAGGGGTAAATCTTTCTTGCCTACATCAGTTGCAGGATTCATGCAAGCAAACAGGCGGAACTCAGGGTGACGTACTATTGGTTTGGTGTCCCTGGAAATAAGAATACAAACACATAAATCGGTTCTTCACACCCAAGGCAAAACTGACAGGCAACACTGTATGAACATCAGCCTATATGAATAGGATAATTAAATGCTGAAAAGAGATGGAAAAATCTCCCCTTTCCTGAAATTCTTTTTTTTTTCTTTTGATAACATAATACAAGATCCAGCATCTTTCTTACCCACAAAAAAGTGCACATCAGTGAAAGGAAGAAAGAATACCATCCCTGACCTACCCTCTTTCCATAAGGACCACAGAGCCAGCAGTGCTCTCCAGTAACCCACTCAAACACTCCAGTGTCTCCGTGGTAGCCAGGTTTATCTCATCCAGTAGCACCCAGTCTCCTGCCTTCAGTGCTTTCACTAGTGTTCCCTGAACAAAGCAAATATTAAAACACCTATAAACAGTCCTAAAAATTTCTTTCTAATAAATATTGTACTAATTATAAGAGAATATTTAAAAGAGACAAAGGATTTTTTTATCTGCATAGATATCAATCCCTTTATCTTCCTCACAAATAAGTATTTAGATGACACCTGTTCTAGCATGAAAGACTAGGGTTACCTCAAGAAATGTGAATGCTAGAGAATTTTCTGTCTGGCTAATTTGAATCTTCAGCTGCTGCAATCTTTTACCAATATCCACCCACTTAGCATGCATCTCGACTCCTGCAAAAGACGTTCACCCAGGAAAAGTTATTTTTTAATCACTCATCTAAAATTATTTCTTAATGAGCAAAACCTATTCAGTATGCAAATAAAATCTGATGTTTAATATAGCCATTGTTCCGCTACAAAGAGAGAGATAGGTAAAGTTCAAATAAGGAGAAAATAATTTATTGGTCAATGACCTGACAGATATAAATTGTAGTGATTAAAAAGCAAACAACATATCACATGTTTAACTGACCTTCTTCATATTTCTTAACTCCTTGTTGCTGAGTATGACTGATCAATTTTAAAAGATCAGACCACCTCTTCTTTGCAAAACATTCCTGTAAAAAGAAAAAATTCCAATTACACTGTTATCAATAAAAGTTATCATATGAAAAGTAAACTAAAACTTATATTAAGTAATAATTATAAAAAATAAGGTTACACTTATTTATCAGTTGCACTAAATTATCAGAAAAATGTAAGAAAATATAACATTATTATATATACAGTTTCGTCACCTGTATGTGACCTAAAAACTTGATATTCTGTTTCCTTGAGAAACTCTGACAAAACACTGCTTCAAAATCTTCTCTGAATGGGGCAACCACAAGACGTAAATCTACAGGCTTAAATCTGTAAGTAATAAACAAAGATAAATTTAATCACTAAAAAGTCAAAAATTTGCACCAAAACTTTCTTCTAAACTAGTGGTGAACTAAACATTTTTCTTCTCTCAGACAATCACCTTGGGCTTTAAATTCTGATAAGTATAACATTATGTACTATAGTTACAACACGATTCGCCTGCTGTATGTGACATACAAGAGGGTGATTATACTGAGGTGCAGCCAATATATAATTTGCTCTTGTATGTCCCATACAGTGGATGAGTATTTGTAACTGACTTATCCTACGGCTGACACTGCCATCAATAAGATGAACACAACAAAGCCTATGAAAAAATACAGGAGAGCATGTAAGCTAAATATCCTATTGTTCGAAGCACTGTCCGTGGGATAACACAATATACTTTATGTCCCATCCTCAAAGATAAAAACCAACTTTTCCATCATCTTATTGAGCTGAAGTATATTTTACTTCATCTTACCCTCCCAGCAGATCAGCACTGTCACTTTGTTGATTCATGTTGATCACATTTAAATGATGACCTAAAAAAGGAAGACTGGGTGGTCAGCAGTTGCCATCTATTGTAAAACACAAAATTGAGGTTTCCTATAAACAAACACTTTCGAGTCAAATGCATCTTGAAGTTACAACAGTTTTCACCTTTATTATTAACAATATCACAATTACATACCAGTGGCTCCACCTACCTGTTTGCTGGGCAAGATACTGCACAGCTGATGTCTTGCCAACTCCCGTTTCCCCTACCAGCAGTACAGGCTCCATGTTGGCCACACACACTGCTACCCTCTCCAACAGAATAGCAGCATCTCTGGTGAATGCAAAATTCACAGCTGATGGCCTGTAAGTAAATAACCAAATCCCATTTGAACCATTCTCTGTCATCTTCATTGTATATAAATGCTACATATTAGAATAATGGTTCAACGTACTAAAATATCCCGTGCTTTAGATTAATAAGTGAAAAAACAAAGAGTAGATTACAGAAATCTGCAGACATAATGTTCTTCAACTCAGAATGCTTTTACCTGTTCAGAGCCAAAGTTTCAGCCATCTTTATTGGTATGTTAGCCCTTCCTGACTTGAGGGAGCACTGAGAGACCTCAACATCTGGTTTGTATTTGCAGCAGTAATATTCAGCCTGAAAGACAAAAGATAAAACTTCCAAATATATGATTCCATGGTTCAGATAATCACACATATCACCCAATTAGATCAGTGTCAAAGTATATTAGATTTGTTCATCCATTTTTGCCCTTTCCATTAAGATCCTAGTAAGCTTATATAAGAATGTTAATGATACACATCAGAGTATTTTGCTACCACTAAAAAAATTAACTATTGCAATCCAGTGAAATTTTCTCTTATGGTCTCTGGGAACCAATAATCATAGTTTTGACTCAATAGTTTTAGTGGCACTCATTACGTTACAGAAAAATCTCTTAAAAAATCATAATCTTTTGTCCATAAAAATTTTAGATACTGCATGCATACATTATCTGATTCAATGAAGAGCCAATAGCAACATCTACTTTGACACCAAATTTGTACCTAAAATTATACCCTCCCTCACCTTAGCTTTGGTAACATTGAGTCTGGCACCTATGGCCTCTGCCAGCGGTAGTCTCTTGTCAGGTTTGGATAGGCAAGCACAGAAACAGTCCAATGCTTCCTGCAGGACCACATTAGCTGTCACACTCTGAGTTACATCAAAGTCCTTTGAAATTCTATGGCACCACTTAATAAGATCTCTATAATTAAATGAAAAGGGAATTAATATATACTAAATAATTTTTTCTTAAAATGCAACTCATTCACTAGTAGTGTGATAATGCCAACTACCACTTATATTAGGTTAAAATCTTTTTATGATACCGACCACAAACTTTCCTGCACTTATTTATGCAGTTTTCATGGAACAACAAATTTTCACCGCTTTCCTAATAGAAATGTTTCTTTTCAAATTCACATTCACCTTGTTGAAATCAGCCTGCCATCATGTGACAGGAACTTTCCTATGGAGTCCAAACCATATTCTTCTGCAGTGGAATCAGACGATAGCTCATGCTTTCCAGCAGACAACATAAAGTAGATGTCCAGCAGACGGTCCACTACAGTGGACAGCTGTGGGTAAGTGGTAATTATCACCTAAAATGATTCCAAAACAAGGCCTGAGCACAGGAAATTCTATTTATTCATTTTCATCAGAGTTAATCTTTATAATATTAATAGCAATCTTGCTCCCAAAAGCTGTGCAGATTAGAAATACTATTTTGGGGTTTTAATTACTTCTTTAGATTTCCATAAACTGATCATTTTAGACTTGTTTTCTGAAAAATATTGGATAACACACCTGCTGTAGTTCAGTTCTTGACAGGGGTTCTACATTTAGCTTTGCCCACATTCTCTCCAACATGGAAGAGTTTGAGCTTTGTTGTCTAAACAGTCCTGTAGCACTACTTAGTAGCCTGCAAAGTTGCAATAAAAAGCACTGTGTCATTAAAAATGTCATAAGGGTTTACCCCTCATTAATATATATATATATTAAATAAAATACAGGCCAAGTATTGGGTCAGAGAGCTTTAACTTTACCAAAATATTAAAAATTTTCTGCAGTGATCAATTATCAAATAGTGGCAAGAAATACACTACTCTCTATTGCTCCCCATGTAAAAGGTACAGGACAAGTGGAAGTACACAAACCGTTGAGTTGCAGAAAGTTGAAACCCAGGAGCAGCCTTGAGGACTCCACCATGACTGGGTAGCGCCAGCGTTCCCGACTCCAGGATAGGCACCAAAACTGAGACCACATCCATAGGAGCATAATCTGAAACACCCCATCCAATTTACTTCAACTAAACATCAATGTGATTAATCCTCCCCTCCAACACCAGATTCTAGAATCCAAATGGAAAACATTGATGTTATAAATAAATGACTAGGCAGACAAATAAGTTATCCATCTCATAAATCTTTTTTATTTATTTGTCTTAAATACAACAAATCATATACAAGCCCCAAGAGAGACTTCCTCTCCAAATAAGATGGTCACTCTTGAAGACAACAGTACTAAAAATTGCCCATTTTGACATGTTAGCTCCATTTATTGAAGGACAACAGTAGCTGACTATCAGATAAACCCAAAAACTTGACTTTTTAAAACAGGCCCTCGGGCTGTTACCTATGTCCTCTAGCAAAATCCAGTTTCCTTGCGTCATGGCTTGAGTGAGGGGACCTGGCTGCCACACAAACTCTCCAGGAATGTCTGTGCAACAATATGTTCCAAGCAAAGCCTGGAAACGTTACACATAAATATTATATTAACATTTCACATCAGTATTGTACACATAGCATATATGACAATGGTAAAGTAAATAGTTGTAAATCAAATAGTTGTAAATCATCATCACAGCATTAAAGTCATTTTTACAAAAATATAACTTCTCAAACCTGTGGTGCAAGAAATAAAAAAATTCCCAAAAAACAATTCAAGAAATTAAAAAATTCTCAAAAAACAATTAAGTTGCAAGTGCTGAGGCAACAGTTTTTACATGCTCTTGGTTTCAATGCAAGTACGTCATAAATAAGAACACATTTTAACAAAATTTCCTGAAATTTTTACCTTACTGTCAGTCTGATCTCCCAACTGAATTTTGATGAGGTCTGGCGTTCCATTCCGCCCTGTCAGTCTAGCTAGGTGTTCAACCAATGCAGTTTTCCCACACCCTACAGGTCCTTGCAACAAAACAGGCTGGCCAGAGGCCACAGCAAGAGAGAGGCTACGGAGGTTTCTGCGAGTGGATGGTACTGGCACCAGAGATTCTTCCACAGGCTGAATATCCCAATTGTAACATTTTCATTCTTCAGGAGTATCAATATATTTTGCATTTATGAATTTGAACAGTGCAAAAAGTTCTTAAATGGTTCCTGATCATTTTCACAGTTCATATTCTTTTAAATTTTTAACCTTAACAGGTTTAATAAGAATTCAAAAAAAGTACTGAGTTGTATTTCTATTTAAATGAAAAATCAGAGAAAAAATCATTAAGAGGGTTATTACTTTGGTAATTTCATCCAATAACTTTGGCAAAAGTACTCCACACACTGATACCACAGCTGGACTAAGATCAGAATCCACCAAACTTCTCTTCGTATAGCTCAGCTTCTCTATTTCTTCTGATCTAGGCTGCTTTGGATTGACTAACAATAATGCTCTCTCTTGCTGCAAGGATTCTACTTTCATTCCATGTCTAAAAAAAGTTTGGTGATAAATTTGAAACTTTAAATAGGCATTAACTATCAAACTTTCAGATACATAATTACATAATCACATAATCATATTTCTATACAGTAATTGTGGTGATTTTTAATTTTACTGCTACCACTCGATAGGAATGTTCTAAATTTAAGATATTATTATCTAAAAAATAAAGTATCTTTAAAATACACAATTTCCCAATATAGAAAATTAAGTTATTTCTGTATATCAATTAAATTTAAAACACAAACATTGATGAAATCCATATTTATATCAAAATTGTAAAATTAACTATCATAGATTAAATTCTGAAAACTTACTTGATAACTAGTTTTCTTTCAGTTTCTTCATCTATATATTTTCTCATGAAGATTTTTTTCTGTACATCTGACATTCCAGTTAATAAGGCAATGGCTTTGACAGCAAACCTGAAAATAGTGCACAATGACATGATATTCATATATATGAAACTCAAAACAGACACTAACTAGTTTTAAAAAATGTGTTTAGTATAATGACATGAAAACAAAAACTGGAATGGACTGATGTGCAGAATGAACATGAATGGGATCAAATACAGAGCAGTACACAGATAATCACATGCAATAAAGAATCATTTTAAACAGTAACTCTAATACACAGTTAAACAATAGCAAATGACCCAGATAATTATACCCATTTGTTTTTATACACAATGCACCAGCATGGTGACCTTACCATCTAGTTTCCAAATCTTCAGTTTTCAGAAACCTCAAGAATGGGCTCCAGTCATACACTTGTCTGAACTCTCTGCATGCACTCTTCAACAAACAGTGGACAGCTTGGCATACAGTCAACAAGGAAGCAGGCTTTTGTTTCTGTGGAATTTGAATAAATATTAGTTTAATTCACTATTACAATTAACAATATCAACGTCATCTCTCAATTATATTTCATTTATTTCCAACCACAGATTCTGTTTGTGATTATCTAGACCGTGGATGGCTAAACAATCTAAAAAACAATATTAGAAAACATTTTATCATACTCTGAATACCTTCCTGGGTTTCTTCTTTACTGGTTGTTCCTCTTCAGGCACAATGAAAAATGTCGGCCTGGAACTCATATACTCCACAGAAAACCTGTACAAGATGACAAGAAAAATTCAAATGGAAAGCACAAATACTACTTGTTTTGAATTTCAATTTCATGTCAATTTTTGAAAATCTGACATAACTTCATACTAAGGGGAAATAAATATATTTAGCTCTCTTTGGGAAAACTCATATTTGACTTCTTTTTGTTTTTTCTTTTTTTCAAAGAAGCATACAAGAAAATTTTCAAAGTGTTTAAAAATCAAATATTAAGTTTAATAGAATAACTTAAAAAATATAAATATTAAAAATACCTTAAAGCATCTGGGCAGATGTTTATTACTTTACTCAATGCTATGCACAGCTTTTGGTGCTTGACAAATGATAGATGTCCACCTTGTGTAACATCAGTTTTAGCTCTCTCAAGGACTTCTAACATCAGTCCTCTGAAGGCACGTGCAATGTCAGCTGTACAGTCAGGTAGAACAAATAGTTTGCTGATACATGTTAAAAAATTCTGCCTGTCAGCTGGAGTCCACATCTGCATTTAAAAATCAAATGAGTGTGTGAGTGCTAGTCGTGGGAATGGAAGTCCGGAGTTCCATATGATAAGTACGGGTTAGGGTTAGTTGGAGAATCGGGGTTAGTATATGGGATAAATATATATTTATCTGTACAAAGTAATGGGAAAGAGACAATGGTTCCTAGGGAACTAATATTTCTGTCGCAAAGGGTATATGTGGATTTAATCTGAGCAGAACAAAACTGACAGCTTAAACCAACAATTTTTGTTAAGCGTGACTGGCTGTAACCTCACACACACGGTACCCTCCCCCCCC